ATCGAAGTATCGCGTTTATTAAAGAATAATTACACGCTCGATGACTAATATCGTGTGTCGAATAGGAAGAACGTAGTAAAACTTATATGTGTACGCGTGTTTGCAAATTGTAATGTATGCACGTATGTTTACGTATGTAGGTATGCATGTACGTATGTGCCATATTGCGTGTGTATATGTGTGTGCGTATGTTCCTCTCGAGGTTCTTTTTTTAATCTTTTTATTTTTTATTTATTTATTTATTTTTTTTTTTCAAATATAAGTAGTTGAGCTGTAATTGAACAAGTTCTGAACAAAGCCGCGTGAAGGGTCGATCAAAAACGCAGATCGCCGAAATGCAATTAGATTCACACCATACCCGTACGTACACGCATTCACTCCTTCTTCGCTCTACGGGCTGCATATGCAAATTTCTCCTATTAGTCTTCTAGTAATTTAGTATTAATTAGTTACACAATTAATTTATTTAATTCGCTTGTAATTAATTATCTAGTCGTTAAATCTGTTTCTCGTGAATCCGCGTACACTTGTCCGTGTATGTATTAATGTTCGTCCATTTACGTTGTAAAGTGTAACTTTTGTATAATTTATATATATGTAAATATATATATATATATATATGTATATTATATGTTGCGTGTATTTGCGTTTTCATGTAAGCGTCTACGCGTGTATTCAGTGTCACTGTGTGTATGTGTGTACGTGTACTAGACTTTTGTAACTTTATTTTTATTTTTATTTTTATTTTTTTTTAAATTATTTTCCTTTAATGCGAGACGGTGTTTAGTATTATTTCATATAGATTTGGTAGACTATCTATTTACTTGAGTTTACGTGTTATAAATATCGTATAGTAAACCGCGTTTCTGTTACTTCGTCATTCGATTATGCGCTTTGTACGAGGGTGCAATGCGAACCGAGTGATATTATTACAATTTGATGTGTGTACATGTGTTTTGTCGTTTGTGTCGAACGTAAAATCATCACGTTTTTTTTTCCTTTGATTTTTTCCGGAATCTAACGCCGTGTCTAAGACGTGTTCGTTCTGTTCGTCGTGCCGAAACTCTGTGCCAAAAAGCAACAACGAGATTCATTATTATTATTATTATTATTATACGATATTCCAGTCGATGCTCTTTGATTTCGCTCGAGAACGGAATGAGAAACGATACAACAACGACGAGATTCGACGTCCTAGATTCGGCGAGAGAAAGAAATGAAACTGCAGCACGGGAAAGTTTCTGAAGAAAACCGAAAATCCTCGAGTCAAGAGAGAGAGAGAGAAAAAGAAAGAGAGAGATAAAGATAGAAAGAGGGGGAAAGAGAAAGAGAGAGAGAAGAAAAAAGTAAAAGAAAATATGGCCAAGGAAGAACAGCGCTCGCGCATATACATGTTACGTACGAAGGTTCATCTCGAGTCTCACGGTCATAGATGAACCTTCCGTTGAGAGATGTTGGAAGTACTAGACGAAATCGGCGAAGTTTCTCTACTGCTTAAAAGTTACAGGTAAACGACTAGCCGTTACGATAATCCGTATATTTCCTTCTCGAACTCGAATAAAGATTGACTATTTACGGTGGGATACGGAGACGGCGGACTATCGAACAGCGTCTGTCGAGTCTAGTGTTTTTCTTTTTTTTTCTTTTTTTCCTTTTTTTTTTTCTTTTCATTTCGTGTAAATAGTTATAAGAGAATACGATAGGGAGCAATTATTATTAGGTTACGGATAGTCGATTGACAGATTTTTATCATTTTTTTTCTTTTTTTTTTTTTTTCAAGAACGGTACAAGCGTGTCCACTCGGTCAACATTCACGAACAGTTCGAACGACCGTTCCTCATTATGATCCTCATCGATAGTTTGATCCTCGAAAAGAGCAAATCTTAGAGTGTTGCTTCTTTTCGATTCATCCTTTCTTTTTTTTTTTTCTTTTTTTTTTTTTCGCATCGTTTACCATTGTTATCGCTTGCGTACAGACCGTACAAGACTGACGAAACTAGCGATAAATTCGTGTACGCGCGCTAAAAAAACGTGGCGCGAGGAATGTATTGGAGGAAAAATGCAAGAAACGAGATTACGGGATGGAGAGAGAGAAAGAGAGAAAGAGAAAGAGAGATAGAGAGAGAAAGAGAGAGACAAGATGGAGAGGAAAATGAAATAGAGAAGCGGAAGAACGCGCGAAGAGGGTGAGAGAGAAAACTGCGGGATCGAGAGTGTATAATTATAATTCGCGGGGAAATGAACTCGGTTTTTTTAATTTTAATTACTTAACTCGTTGAACATATTTAACCGAGATGATAGATTATACACGTGGAAATCGTATTGCTTATATTTATCTCGAGGAAGCAGCATTATAGTCCTATGGAGCTTATTAATTAATCGAAATGCCTGTTCTCTCTCTGCCTTTCTTCCTTTTATTATTTTTTTTTTTTTTCTCTTTTTTTGATTGTCGTATTTATACGCCTCGGTGATATAACAGTTTCGTCTCTTCGCCACTCTCCGCTTGATAACAATAACGACGATCGAATAATAATTAGAATAATTGAATAATAATGAAAAAAGTCGATGAACACACGGCCAAAGTCACGCGTTCCAGTCGATATCGTGCTGTTGATCGATCGAAGAATTGACGATAAATTCGTTCGTTCGATTGGTCCGACGTGTTTATACGCGGCTGCCCGCCTCGAAACGGCCACGATACTAATCCCCCACGAACACCGTGAATTGTTAAAGGCGCACGACGCCGAGAAGATTATCGTTGCCGCATTAAAACGATCGCAAACGGACCGGTCGTTCGGTGGATCGCGATTCGATGATCACTGTTTCACGTTCGACGAGCCATTGCAGTTAGTGATCTGCCGAATTGGCGAGGTTCGCTGTCAGTAGACCCAGGACACGGGTACCCATTGGGGTGTCGTGTGTACCCGCTCGATGGCCGCCTCCAATTGCGCGATCGTCTCGTCTATCTCGTTGTTCACGATGGTCAGGTCGAAAAAGTGGCCGTACGCTTGCTTCAGCGAGTCAGACTCTTTCGCCAGTCTTGCCAGGCTTCCGTCGCACTGCAACATTCGTTAAAATGTTCGTTGTTTTTATGTTACTTGTGTATCGTTATATTTGATACAATATATTTACTTGACAAAATTATTGAATGTTATTGGATGGAAAATTAACAATTTTGTAAAGATTCGTGGAGATATTGAGTATTGTAAAGGGCTAAATATCTAGTTGAATGAAAAAAAAAAGAAATCTGAAAAATTCAAAAACATTTATTTTGTAATTAGATTTTTGAATATTCAATTATTCAATTATATTCTTTATGTTTTTTTCATGACGTATCTGTTAAAAATATTGTATTATTTAATATTATAATATTAATTGTATTATTAAACTAATTATTATAAAGTGCCATTATAATATTATTCTGATGTTATAGCACTTTATGGATATTATATTATTTTTATTATAATCTATTTTCAATTTATAATTTTATTCTTTATCTTTCTTCTTTCCTATTTATTCTTTCCAATTCAAAAATTACAAATGTATCTTCTAAATGTATCTCGTTCACTTACTTTCATCCAGTCACCCGAATAATTGTTGGCGAGAAAATTTAAATAATTGAATTAAATGGAAGCGTTGAAGTTTCGTAATCTTGTCAAAAGTCGATTAATCGTTCAATTAGATGATCTTATGACGATAATTAACCCGATTCCTCGGGGAAGATGTTAACGATCGATATTCGTTACTTACATCGGTGATATTTTCGAACACTGGAGCAGCGATGAAAACTACATAAGGCGCAAACTCTGCTGTACGTAACACTTTCAAGGCTTGGGGCTCGACGTCCAATATCGCCACTTTCCCTTCTTCGTGAATTTTCCGGATCGTCTCGAGCTTCGTTCCGTACATTGCGTTCTCGTGTGTACCTGCAAAATGATTTAAAAAATGAAGTTCGTGCGTGAAATGATGAATTGAAATAAGAATATGAATATTTACCATATTCGAGGTATTCATTGGAATGGATATCGTTCATCATTTCATCGTGCGATATGAAATAATAATTGCGACCATTCTCTTCGTCGTTTCGTGGAGGCCTCGTTGTATCTGAAAATAAACTAATTTTAGTACGTGTTCTTAGAGATTTGATCGAATATTAATTTTATTTTAGATTTTAAAGATGGTTTTAAATTAAAAGAAATGTAATGTAGTGAAAACAAACAAATAGAAATAAATTACTGAAATAATTTTTAAGGAAAAGATAAGTACTTCATGAAAAATTGAATGAATAAATAAAATTAATGAATGCAATATTATATTCCAAATAATCTTTAAAAATAGAATAATAAGATTGTTTCTATTTACGTGGAATAGGATAGGCATATTTATCAGGATGCTTCGCGATAATGGTATTTTTTATCTGACGACGACCAACACCATGTGCTCCCAGTAATACTAATGTTTTCCGTTGGAATGCAGGATCTGTAGAAAAAATTATTACAAAAATATTAATAAAAAACAAATAATAATAATCCATTTATTTCACAAGTTAATAAAGTATATATTTCCTTTTATTTTATTCACAATTTACGTTATTTCATTAGCAACTTCAATCAAGTATGTAAATAAATAACTAATAATAATTTAATTATTATAATAATTTTAATAGATGATGTTAGATACTTACAGGGAAGCTTAACGACCTCTTCGTAGGTGACCAGATCCAGCTGGTCAAATACTGCGTTGTGTTTTGCGAGATACTTATCCTTGTACTGTTTCTTTTTCCGGCCAAATATTGAGCAATTCACTGGAAATGTAAAAAATTAGTTAGTCGAATGTTTAATTAAATTAAACTGAGCATCAATCATTTGAAAATCCTGTAAAAGAGTGATTTTTTATTCTTGTACGTTCAATCAATTCTCTGCAGAATTCAGAGCTTATATTTCATCATGAAAAAATAAGAAAGAACGAATGTATTTCAATTTATCAAGCTTATGTTTAATAAAAAGAAAAATTACATTTACTAAAAAATTTTAAATGATAAAAATGATTATTCTTATGAACTGAAATAACAATAAAATATAAATATTCGAATATCTAAATATATGTATTAGTAAAACGAGATGTTATCAGTTTTATTTAATAAATTGGTTTTTTAATTTTAATAAATTCACGGAAAATGAATCAAATAAAATAATTGATCGAACATACAAGATTTCTATAAAATTGATTCAATCCAAATAATTGTCTAGCGATTAAGTAACATTTTTTCCACGAAAAATTATATACTATTTAACTATAGAGAAAATTGGAGGCTGTTTCATAATATGAAATCAAACATATTAAGAGAAAAAAAAGGAATAAAGAATATTATGTATAATTCGATTAGACTTCTTTATTTTAAATCAAAATAATTTAAAAATAATATTATTACATCTAAAATTTGTATATTTCATTTATCCATGTTATTTTCTCATATTATAAAACATTCTATATGATCAAAATAATAGTCCCAACGAGTATACAATATCGACGACAAAATTACTTGATAAACGTTTTGATACGAAAATAAAAAATAGAAGAAGAAATTCGTATCATTTATGCCATTCATATAACGTACGTTCCTTGAAATTCATTAAAAGTGTAACGTGTGGTAGAGGCTGTAATTGAAACACTTAGCAAATCTATATATGTATCTATATGTATATTGCTAATCAGCATCTTCCTTAAATGCTCGAAACAGCATTTTACGCGTAATAGAAGTGAAGAACTACTTCAAGTAAATATCAATCACTGTGTAAGCATATTCTCTCTAATGGTAAAGAGATTTCATTCAATCAGCCAGTTTACATAGATAAGCCATAACCATAAAGAAGGGCGTGGGATTCCCACTGAGATGAGTGTTCCAGCAGGTCACAAGATGAAAAGTTAAGGGTGTAGTTCATTGAATAGTTCGTGTATATTTTTGTATGTATTTGTGTGTGTATGTATGTTTGATATTTTGAAAATCGGAGTCATGATTAAAGCATGATTATGAGATTGAATAATAGACAGTTGAAATATATTAATAATGATATAATTTTATTTAAATATTTACTTTTTCTTAATCGAATCAATAGATAATTTTGTTTTAATAATTACATGAATATTTTTGAAAAATCAGAAAATAAGCCCAATTCTGTTTTTATATGATTCGAATTAATTTTAGTAAAGCTTAAACTCTTAAATTCTTATCTGAAAATTTTAAAAATAATATAAAGAATGTTTAACTTTACATATCTAATATTCTCTAAAAAATAAGATGAAAATCAAGAATAAAAAAATTACATTTTCTATTTTGTTCATTTGGTATCAACAATTATTATTTCATGATTAAAGATAATTTTTAATGATCAATCAAAAAAATATCTTTGCAATGAATATAAGGCAACTCTTTTTTTTAATAGAAATTCTTCAGAAAGAAACATATTTATCATGTAATTCGACTTAAAATTCGATTGAACCTTATTAAAAATTAAAAAAACTTTGAATCACTATAATTCCGAAGATAATAATTTTCGGTTAATGAATGAAAGCTCATTAAAAGCGCGAAACCTTGCCCTTTAAAATGCTTTTTCATTTATTCCAATACGACTTCCAGTTACCGAGATATTATCGTGTAAAGAAAAAGTGATTTTTTAATCATTATGTTAAATCTGATTAAGTCCTAAATTAGGAAAACTTTAAACCGTCATAACTCGGAAAATAATAACTTCCGGTTAACGAATGAAAGCTCATTAGAAGCGCAGAATCTTGCCCTTTAAAACGCTTTTTCATTTATTCCAATACAACTTCCGGTTCTCGAGATATCGTCGTGTAAAGAAAAAAGTAATTTTCGGTGGTTTACTATTTCTATCCTTGTTGTATATTCGGACCTCTTGCTCGCACCTCGTCTCACTGACCTATTCCAAACTCCAGACAAGCGGCAGACGCGATTCCTAGAAAAACGTAGTACGCGATTCTTGGAAAGATATAGTACGCGTTTCCAAGAAAAAATGTCAATGTTTCGTGGCTCCATTAGTAACCGCTTTAAACATTATGGACACTTTGAGTCCTTATATCTCGGCAACGGATTGAGATATCGAGATGAACCAAAAAGTAAGTTCAATGGCATGATTTTCTCTATCTTCTGAGTATATTTTGACGATAAACTTTTTGATTCTTCCTCATAATTTTTATACGAAAAGATCTAAATTATATTTATGAGCGCAATTGTCATAATATAAAATATATAGGAATTTAAATTTATTTAGTTTTGGGATTTTAAGATCATAATTTATCCAATAATACAATGTATGAAGCATATAAATTGCTATATAAATATAGGGTTTGAAATCACTGTACCTTCTATTGTTTCAGTTGTCCTTATTTTTTTGAAAAATGAAAAAAATATTCAAAATAAATAAAAATTAAATGAAGCTTTTTATGTTTTGTTTGAGAGCAACTATTGTTATCGGGTTTTCACGTCTGGTACCATTCTTCTATTCTTTTTTTATATGCAATATATATATATTTTTTTTACACATTTTTTAGAAATCTGTATAAGATATAAAATCATAAAAACTGAATTGGGTATATTAATATTAACTTCAATAGTAACATGTAACATAATAACGTAATAAAATTAACATGTGATAAATTTATTTATAAATAAATTTGTTTAATATTTTATAATTTTTTAATATTTAAAATGAAACTTGTGTAATGGAAATTTATGTTGAAAATCTCAACATAACAATGCTGCGACGATGTGCTTGCGAGTGGTGTCGTGCGAAACAAGCGTAGGTGCGTGAAATGATTAGCGAAAGCATGCATTGAAGCACGCTGCATGAAAGCATGTTCTGTATTACCTAATATAACTCGATGTATATAAAATATAATACTAAAAAAAAACATGAAAATAGAAAAGAAAAATCTACTAGCCTTTTACAAAATTTCATAGAACAAAGAGTGTCCTTATACGTTATCCTATATTTATTAAACAGAAAATATTTTTTTCCATTATTCTTCCTATAATACTTTGTCTCACTAATTTGTAATTTTGAAATGTATATATAAATTTAATACTAATTTGTCCATGTAATTCGTGACGATAAAATGCATTCAGTGAATAATTCATGATACATACGAAATATATATTTAGAATTTTAGTGTTATTATCTTTAATTCATTCGTTCGCCAAGAAAATCGAAGCCATTCTCCTTTCAAGCTTTCAAGTTAATTCTGAATAGTATTTTCATCTCGGTAAAAAAGTGTTTCTCTTCATTCTCAAGTTGATGCGTGTGTTGAAAGCACGGAACGAGTATATATTTTGTATTACATGCGGACTACACGGTTCTACGTGACTCTACGCGTTGTCTACCTGAAGGCAGAGTCATACCTGTCGAACCGTCGCAGCCTTCGGTGTGAGAAGAACATCCTCCTTCTCCTTCAGCATCTAGCCCCGCACAACACAAAATAATAACTGTATCACTGAAGCTAATTATTTCTCTTCAATCTATCATTCTGTCTCGTTTATCACGATTCACGATTCTGCGATCATTTTTTTTTCCCTACCAGTTAAATATCCTCTTAATTATTTCTCTAATCTCTTTTATTATTATCAGTTTATAGTATAATGATAAAACTATGTATATTTCTATTTATATGAAGGGTAAAGGGGAAAATAGGGAATGTTCATTTTTGGTGATTTTATGATATGTAATGTAATTTGTTGGTAGAATATAGAATTGTTGAATAATTATGAAACAAAATTATTCATATTTAGTGGTTTAAGATTTGATATAAGATATTAATATAAGAGATTAATAAAAAAAATCTCGTGCATGTCAAATAATATTAATACTTCTTTTTTTTATTTTATATAAATTACAAGTGCACAATTTTTATTTTTGTAATCTACAGTCTATTATAGTAGTGTCTAGATTGAAAAAAATTTCATGGGATTCGTTGTTCCTTCTCTTTATCCTTTATAATCTCCTCGCGTAAATTATACGATAAATTGTTATAACCACAATGTATTATCGCGAATATAATCAGCTCGAGAAGATGGGCCATTTATATGCAATTTTGTGGAATAAAATGATCGAAAAGAAGTAGGTCAAAATGAAAAAAAAAAAAAA